ACTGTACTGTCATGAAACTCAGCAGTGTCCCAAATTTCCTTATCAAGGAGATTATGGGGCCAAAGAGGAAAGTGATCGATGATGTAGAGTGTACCTAAGGAGAGTCATATGGAGAGAAAACATTCTCTCAGGCTTTCACAGAGAGTAAATTGGCCAAGCAATGGCTGTGACTCATTCACATGGCTGACAGTAACCAAGAATCTACAATCTGAGGTACACGATCTCAGGATAAATCCTGAAGGATTTCACTGACCTTATCAGACCCAAAAGCTATAACTCTTGTTGCATAGGTCTTGCTTTATCTCAGTCTTAACCATCCAGCAGAAAAGTATAAAAACGAAGTATAAGAAGTAAAGCCATGGTGTTATGTTGAGCTGTAGGGGACTCATGTCAATAATTTCTGACACTGCTAGTCAAGCAGAAGACCCAATACTATTATGGATTACTGGACTCTTTTAGAATATTTTGCTGAGTTATCACACGTTTAATATTCAAATGACAGAACTAAAAAAAAGAGGGAGATATATAAATGAATGTCCATTTTGTATCTGTGCATTCAAAATGGTTAGGATAGATATATAGTTACATTCTCTTAATGAATAGAGGGATTTGTTATATAGTGTTTGTAAATAGGATATCATGTCTGCATCTTGTACGGCAATTAACCACTAGGAAGAAAGTATGCAATGTGTTAACTACTGAAACTGTCCTACCAATTTGATTTGAAACTGTCTCATTGCTATTTGTCTTTCAATAAAATTATGGAATAAAAAACAGAATAAATATTTTGGGATTGTGTTTAGTTCTTTAGCCTGACTTGTGAGACAACTGTAGACTCAACCACTGCACTATGATGCGCACACCAAAAGCTCATTCTAATCCCAGCTTTGCCACCTGTGGTCTGTGTGGCATGTTCCCTGCTCTCCCTTAATCTCCTTTGCCTCATTTGACAAAGAAAAGTAAGTTTTGTCACTTGAGTGTTGTAGGTGGTTTAGCTCTAGGGGCCGCGTGTGTGCACTGTGCGAGTTAGCTGATCTCTGCCTGGTCCTCAGAATGCACGACCAACACTAGCTGTTTCATATCTTGAGAGTCATATTACTTCAGCACTTTCAAATTTTTAAAACACTGCTATTTTCAAAGACAATTTATCCTAATGTTTGGTGAAGTCATGCAATTTAAATATCTTCTGTGCAAATCTTAGAATATACTGTTTTCCCCTAAGTCCTGGGAATCCAGTGGTCATTCGTATGAGAATCCATAATACTAAGCAATGTTTTAAATGAAGCAATTATTAGCCAGCTCTGGTAGCACATGTCTGTTGTCCCAGAACTCTGAAGGCTGACCCAGGAGGATCACAGCAAGTTTAAGGCCAGCCTGTGCTACATAGCAACTTCAAAGTCAACCTTAACTATATCATGAGACAAAAACTTAAAGTAATTTTATTTGTTGTTTCTTAATCCTGGCTGTCCATTAGCATTACCTATTATTTACTGCTTTTTAAAAATTTATAGTTTCAATATTTATCCTGAATAAATGAACTAAAATTTAGGTGATAAAGATTTAGTATACAGGGAAAGAATAATGAGCCTTTTTATCAACTGGCCAAAGTACAGTGTAAACAACGATTGCAGCTCATTTGCTGGCTGGCTGATCACGTACATGACTGAAGGACACCGTAGACCATCGGTGAGCACATGAAAGCTTGGGATCATCCTGGACTCAGTAAGGACAGAAGCTCCGATGGACGCCGCGGTGATCCTGGTGCTCGGTCTCTCCTGTCTGCTTCTCCTCTCACTCTGGAGACAGAGCTGTGGGAGAGGGAAGCTCCCTCCAGGGCCCACTCCTCTCCCACTCATTGGAAACATCCTGCAGATAGATGTTAAAAATATCACCAAGTCCTTAACCGATGTAAGTATGTTTTAGGCTCCTCTAGTAACTTGAAAATACTAAGTAAATTGACCTTCATTTTTTAAGTCCAATATGTTCCTGAATCAAATTATTAGAAGATATTACTATCTATCAAGTACTTTCTATGAAGTATGACTTTTTTCTTGTTTTTTAAAGTTGGTCATTGTTCCATTAGTGGGATAAGGTAGTGCATTTGCAGTAAGAAAAACACTTAAGTTATCATAAGTTACACTAAAAGTAATAAAATGGTAAAAATCTGTAATATTTCAGCACTTCATTGTTTGATAGTCATTTGCTACAGTTGTTTATTTTCTGATGTTAAATTATAGTTATTACTTTTGGAATAAGAGATGTTTCTCAAGAAGCTATCTGCAGCATGACCTAAATCCTTGATGGTGGGCCCGTGGAGTGTACACCAGAGCAGGAATGCAAAATCCTCTCTGCAGTGATGTCACAAATTGTAGGAGTTGTTTTGTATAAAGTAAAACCTCAGTACTAGGGTTTAATGGCAGTGTTGGGAATTTGTGAGAAATAAGTGGATTTTGTCTTGTAGTTTGTCATTTGCTGTCTAACGGGTTCACCTTCACTGACCTATAGATTTTGTTCAGAATACCCATGAACATTAAAGTTCTTTTAAGAGGCAAATAAAATCAGATATCAAGAAATACTTATGTAACAGTAAAGTGGTACAATGGGAGATCCCTCAGTAAAGACAATGAAAAATATCATCTTAATTGTGCGAAAAATTCAGAAATAATTAAGTTAAACAGCAGAATAAAATATAGCAAGTAGAATTCAAGTAACCATCTGAAGTAGTCAAAATATGTAGATCAGATAGTGATTTATTTCAGTAATATTGCATTTTGTTTTTTGTTAGCACACATTCACAGCACATAATGTTTAC